ACTAATAATAATAATAATAATAATAATAATAATAATAATAATAATAATAGTAATAATAATAATAATATCTCTACTCCTCATTCTAACCATGAGAATTAGCCCAGAAGTCGGAGACTTGTGCGGGGAGGAGGCGGCATATTATTATTATTAAGCAGGCGCTGTTTGCGCCCAGGAACGACTTAATGTTGGGAGACCCTAACCACCATTCAGTGTAGGAATGAGGGAAACCTGGAAAACCTCATTAATTAGGGGGGTGGTCAAATGCCAACCGGTGTCAATCTCGCACATTGACCCAAGCCAACATTCTTCCACCCTACCATACATGCATAGAGGGTGCCAATCCTCCGTAAAAGCATAGCTAATCTACGGTCTACCGGCCGCGGGAATCGAACCCGGGTAGAATAGCACACCTCTATTTAAGTATTGACGCCTTAAACCGTGCGGCTATCGACCGATAATAATAAGCCAATACAGTTCTGTTATTGGAACTACTATTAAGTATAACTTGTTATGTACAGATTCTTTATTTTTTATTCAGTCGAAAATTGTGTCATTTTTCAAAATTTATTACAGACGATTGCTAAATTTTAAAGACGCCTGGTTTTTTAAAGGTATCATAGTATATTTCATCAATAAAATTTTCGTTGCAAGCAGTTTTTGAGATTTTAGATACATATTTAATTTTATTGTTTATGAGTGTATATCGGTAAACATTAACTCTTGAGTAGGTACCTATCTTATATGACTAACAATCAGCAATAGCCAAAGCTTTTAGTTCTATTATTAATAAAACGATATAGTATGGAAACGCATATATTATATTGATAAAAAGTTTTGTTGTACTGGTATACTGAAAACATTAATACAACATTCGTCTCGTTCATGTTGAGAAAAATAGCTTTTATAAAACACGTATAAACCTCTTCTTTGGACACCATACGGCTGCCTCGTAAATAGCGGGCCAAAAAACGACAAACCAGCATATTTGTTTTATAAGACAATAGTATACAGGGGTTATGGTCTCTGTATAAAGGTTTTATATAACGAGCGTTCAAATAAAAACGTGGTCAAGTTGGTTCTGAAAATTTGGACGTAGGGCGTAGCGTATAGCAAATGAACTTAAACGTCATCTGTCAAAGCGCTATATCGCCGCTATCAATTTGAATATTTTCGTTTTAAAAAGCATTTAAAATGGTGTTTTCTCAAGAACAAAAAGTGTTTATCATAGAGTCCTACTTTAGAAATGGACGCAAAGTTGATGGAATATGGAAGTATTCTATTGAGGAATATTTAATAGAATTTCAAAATCAATTTCCCGGCGTTGTTGAGTACAAAATTTTTCAAAGTGCAGTTCAGCGTTGTGTTAATGTTTTTCGTGAAACGGGCAGTGTAACAAGAAAAGAAGGAAGCGGCCGACCTAAAAAGCGGACTGAAGAATTAAAAGAAAATGTCCAACAAATAAATGCGCCAAGAACTTCTGTACGTGTTTTATCACAAATGGTGGGAGTATCAGTCGGTACCTGCCACACAGTGTTAAAAAAAGATTTGCGTTTGTTCTCCTATCGTTTAACTTGTCAGCAAGAACTTCATGAAGTTGATTTTCCGCGACGGGCTGTATTTTGTGAGTGGTTTTTAAACAACTACGGTGAACTTCATAATATCACCTTTTTTTCTGATGAAGCCTGGTTTCATTTAAGTGGTTGCGTAAACTCACAGAATATGAGAATGTGGTCTTCTGAAAAACCAGATAACTTTTTTGTCGAGGGCCCTCTACACGCTCAAAAAATTGGAGTTTGGTGTGCTCTCAATCAAAGGAAGATTTATGGACCTATTTTTTTTAATGGTACTCTTACTGCGCAAAGGTATAGAGAAGAAATTATCGCTCCTTTTGTTAACCAGCTGGAAGAAAACGAAATTACAAACTTTTACTTTCAACGAGATGGCGCAAGGGCACATACGGTAGGCGAGACGATGAATATGTTGAGGGAAGTTTTCCAAAATCGACTAATAAGTCTCAATGCTGAACATGAATTTCCACCGAGGTCATGTGATATTACTATTTTTGAACTGCCTATTCCTGATTTAAACCATCTGCAAGCTCGACTTATAGACAAGATTCGTGAAATTAACAATACCCCGAGCATCTTAGAAAATGTCTTTAATTCTTTGAGGAACAGGTGTGAAAAGTGCTTGGAACAAGGAGGGGGACACTTTCCGCAGCTCCTTTAATTGTTTGTAATTGTTATCACGATTATGCTTTAAAATAAAGTTATATAGTCATTAACGTTATTGAAACTGACAGCTGCTATACAGCTCGTTGAGAAATGAGGTTAATTTGGTCGCTATAAGCTACTCCCTACGTCCAATGTGTCAGAGCCAACTTCGACCACGTTTTTATTTGAACGCTCGTTATATTTTACAAATACAGAACTTAATTTTTTTTTATTTTTGAGCGCACTTTTGTTCTCTACGTCTTATTTTTCGAAATAAAGATGTCTTTTTGCTAGAACTACGGCGACTTTCTGAATATCGCACAGTATCATTTCAGAGATACTGATTCTCATCAAAGCAATCGTATATATCAAATTACAGTAAAAAATCTGTACAGTGAAACCAAAACTATTTCTGGCACATTGCACATAACTGATAAACATTCCGTAATCTCTCAGCACCTCTCCACAGCCTTCTGTGACCCTACAGCGGTTTGTTTACTTAGTTAATTAGTTCTACTGCTCGTATCGCTAAATACTCCCGGTTTCTCTTTTCCAGGGCAATGTTAATTATATCCTAATGTTTCCGAGTTTCTGGTTGTTCTTTATTCGACAAACGTCAAGAAAAAATGCCTCATTTTTAAATAAACGCGCCCACGGAAATGAATTAGTACTGTTTTAATTATGTCCTTTGTGAGCTTTGTTTTAATTAGGGACGGTGTTATCTAATAATTTTTTAAAGCCTAAAAAATTACCATGTTGGCAAAATTCGTATGTTACAAAAAGGAGCAGAGTATTAAAAGTACATAATTTTAACATGAGTTCAAACTTTACATTATACTAATATGTAGTAATATGTCATCAATTTTCAATATTATATTTTTATCCTGTACATACAGGGTGTTTCGTAATAGTATTTATGATATTGAAATCCGGATTTTAATTTAGCTACATACAGAAAATCATTTTGATTTTTTGCTCGAAAACGGCTGCAGATACGAAAACATTGCAAGAGACAAAGTTTGTAAATTGAACAGGGAATAGAAAAGACCAGTGGCATACCGGAAGAAAGTTTGGAGATCCGACCCTAAAAAAGTATCACCCTGTAGATCGTGACCACCATTAGGCAGAACTAGTGGTGCAGGTAATTTAAGTTAGCATACATTCCAAATTTGAGCTACATATCTCAAAAATTGTGGGAGATACAAAGAAAAAACAGAAAAATTATTGAAACTTGAACACCCTATACCTTGGCAGCGAAGGATTTACGGATATATGTTTTTTACTTAAAATCATGCGTAAATTCACTCCCTTGAATAAAGACAGACTATTATGAAATACCCTGTACATAATTTTTCATGGCCTACTCAAATTAACTGATTGAAAAACAATTCAAAATCGCAACAAGGAATCTGTCGAACTCAAACGACTTCTTACCTTGACAGAAGAACTAGTTCGCACTTTTTTGCACTATCCGCACTTCATTTCACACTTTTAATTGCACTAATTATTTACACTGAAGCATAAACGAGATGCTGTCTATTTCAGACGATTTCCGATTTTACTGTACGGACATTCTTGTGAACGTTTTATCTCATGCTGTTTACATTGCTATAAACAAAAATTAGTCACATTCTGTGATAAGTGCCATTTTTAAGAAACAGTTTTATGAATGTGCAGTTTATTTATTACAACCTCTGACCCACAAGAGAACTAATAAATTACATACGTACGTAGTCATACGAGTAAATATGTAAACACGGAAGATAGATATAATTGATATACTTTTTTAAGTAAACGTACCTTAAATATAAGTTAATTTTTAGATTAGATTTTGTTCTCTTTTTTATTTTATACTATTAATTTCAATAATATGCTTAGCACGATTGTAACAGTAACCATAATTGATTATAAAATTTACTTACAATTTTAATTCAGCATTATTCGACACGAAGTACAGCTTGATTCAATTTTTTTTCAGGTTGGCAACACTGACACAAAACTTTTGTTCAATTACTTTCAATTTTTCACACTACCAACGCATTGCGATCGGGTATCACATTAGTGCAACTTAAATCTATCCACTAACACAAATTAAATTTTCTTTGTACGGTAATAGAGGACTAGACAGTGTTGCCTTCGTTCGAAGGACGTAATGTAAACGATTTTTAATTTAAAATGTATAACCTATGGAAAAAAGTATTAGCAATCCATTCATTGCATAGAGTCCTATTTAATTTTTAAAATGAAATTGTCGGCACTAAAAATAATTGTTTAATCCATATCACCAGCTATTTTTAGCGCAGGCCTTATTAGTATTTTCCAGCGCATGCTGAGGCCTGAATTGAAGGCTTCCTTTATTTGAATAATGATTTTGTCGCCTGTTACAGTTCCTATTATACTGCTATATATGGTATTACAACAGCGATTATCTCTCTGTTTTCTTATACGATGACCTCTGCTCTGACTTGCTAATTTCTTTATTTATTTTGTATGGCCAAATTTGATCCAGTCGTCAAAGTTGTCACAGCAACAACATCTTTACTTGTTACTTGTACAATTTGACCATTTATGTTATTCAGCGAATCTTTATTTTTATTAAAATTGGATGAATATCTAACTGAAAAGTGAAAGGAACAAGATATCGGGTGTCCCAAAACTAACGCAGGATTTGAATGCATTACCACCTTTTTCTCTGTAATAGGTTAGTTAGCGGCTCAGGTGGGGCCTAAGTGCTGTAGTTTTTTAAGCTACCCTCCCTAAAATTCCAAATTCCAGATGCCAAATGAGTCGCGGAATATATTTGTCCGATATCCTCTTTCATATTTAATCTCGTATTTAATATTAATGTCTACCCTTTAAAAACATGTAAACACTGCCAATTTTTTTATTAATAAAATATTTTTTCTTCACATGAAATCCTCCGTTTCTTTTAGGATATTCTTTACATCACCTCTTGTCTTTAAATATCCTTTTAAATTGGAATTGACTGTGAAGTAAACGAGAAAAGTAAACCAATAAAAAAAACAAACATTTGATTGTTGTACTTGTTCATCGAGACATTTATTCTCCTGTCTAGGTCATCTGTCTACTTTAAAAAAAGTGACGGTGTCGTCACAGCTGCAATATGATAGAAGAGATTCATTAAAACTTGTGTCCAAGTTCACAGAAATAAATAAGGCTGGCTAATTTCGCATTGTGTTTTTTGTTTTGTTTACAGTTGCCGACTTGATTGTAGGCGATGAGCTACATATGGAATTAATACTATAAGCGTTTGTGTAGACCAATTTAATTTTAGTTCATTAAAAGTTTTACTATAAGTCTCGTCGTTTTGATGTGTAAATTGTATTGAATTTACGCCGTCTGACTGTGGATCCCTTTGTGTCTGGTTAAACATTCCCTACAATTTGACTTGCGATAGAATTTCCTAGAGTTTGTGAATCGAAACACCTACCCGTTGGATGTCGGATTTCTCTAAAATATCGAACAACAACAAGTTATATTTAATAATTTCGACATAATGATATTCTATAATTATTTCTTTTATTTATTTACAGTTTGTTTCGTATACCTTCCAAATTTACAAAAAAAAATATATTATTTTTCTTAGATTTGTTTAAAAAAAATTTGCATTTTTTTTAACTCGGTATCATGAAAACTATCTGCCTAACCGCAAAACAGTAAATAATCTTTTTGTCTAAACATGTGATTAGTTATAATGAAATTTTAAGACACTGTATATTATTTTTTAGATCTTACTAGCTATGAACTGACACAAAATATATATTCTAACGGATATCTATAATTAATAAAACTATAAAGTATCTTCTCTTTATACAAAACTGAAATATGAGAAGGTATTTCTATCCCAACGTAATCCCCAAAGGAATCTTATAAGACTGCTGATAAGCTCATTAATATTTAGAGAGGTAGATACCAACTTCTAGATTTCACTACCAGATCTTATCGATAATAATTATTTAACTTGGAAATATTCTAAAGTCTCAAAGGAGCAATAGAAATACGTAGGTTTCTATTGTAAATTTAATTAATAAATAAGTTAATAACAACAGCATAGATTCTCAGGTAAATAGGTACACGGAGAAAAATGTTTTGTAAAAAATTAGTAAATTGCTGTGATCCTTCAGTTTATGCTAAAAAAACATTATAACTGTAATCGGGAATAAAAAAACATATAATTGTACATTAAAATATGTACTGCAGTAGAATTCCTCACTGTTCATAGTAGAAAGTAGTATAGATTGAAAAATGTTTACCAAACATATTTCACCACTATATAGCGATTTTATTTAACATTCTTTAAAGAAATTTTGATATCGATTCTGATATGTACAGTATTTAAGTAATTTTTTACACCTGGAGATTTCATGCCTTTATTATATTAGATTATTTGACATTACTCCATTGCCCAGGAGGCTCGATCAATGGTTTTAATAATGTTATAAATATAGACCAGGCAATAAAGAGAAACATATCTAGATTTTCGCGGCCCGGTCCGATTTTAATGCGGTTTTTTGCATTTTGTTCAGAAAGACCGTCGGAAAAAAGTCCCGCCTTTTTTAATATCCGGAAGTGGCGGAAATGCATCGCGGATGCATAAAGTGCATCTAGAAGTGCATCGCATCCGAGAAACTTGCCAAAGTGCACGAAATACCGCAAAAATTGGTACTCGGGGGTTTTGGCGGGCGCAGAATTCGAATATGCATATATCCAGTCTACCCGACCCCCCGGGGGGGCGACTTCCGACCGCCTGGGGGGCGCGGGGGGCACGTGGATTGCAAGGTTCTCCGAATGACTGGAAAAATGGATCTCGGGGGTTTTCGCGGGTGCTGATTCCGAATTTGAGGGTGAAAAATATCCCCTGTGCTCGTGGAGGGGGCGGTGGGGGGTAGGGGGGTATGAAATCTAAAGTTCTCGAAATGACTGTTAAAATGTATCTCGGGGGTTTTCGCGGGTGCTGATTCCGAATCTGAGGGTGAAAAATATCCCCTGTGCTCGTGGAGGGGGCGGTGGGGGTAGGGGGGGGATGTATGAAATCTAAAGTTTCTGAAATGACTGGAAAATGGATCTCGGGGGTTTTCGCGGGTGCTGATTCGGAATTAGAGAGTGAAAAATATCCCCTGTGCTCGTGGAGGTGGAGGGGGGGGGGGTATGAAATCTAAAGTTCTCGAAATGACTGGAAAAATGGATCTCGGGGGTTTTTGCCGGTGCTGATTCCGAATCTGACCCTGCCAAATGCGTCCGATGACTATTTCTGATTTCACTTACTGCGTATACAATATACATGTATGTGCGCGTCCTCGCTTCATCTGTCTCTTCCTATTTTCTGGGACCCCTTCCCAAAAATTCCACTGTTATGTATAGGTACCGCCAGACAGCTGCGCGCATCCGTATACCTGAGATTCGAGAGCGTATACAGCGGGAATTTCGAAAAGCAGCATTTCAGAATATTATCGAATTTCGTGCTCTTCTCATTTTTCCCCCGGGGCCTAATTGTCCTAATATATCACTAACATCACACGTTATAATTTTCTATCCCCAAAATACTCTTTATTCCATGTTACCAGTTCATGAATATTATAACCATCCCCCTAACCCCTACCGCCCCCTGCACGAGCACAGGGGATATTTTTCACCCTCAGATTCGGAATCAGCACCCGCGAAAACCCCCGAGATACATTTTCCCAGTCATTTCGAGAACTTTAGATTTCATACCCCCCCTCCACCTCCACGTGCACAGGGGATATTTTTCATCCTCGAATTCGGAATGAGTACCCGCGATAACCCCCGAGATCCATTTTTCCAGTCATTGCAATCCACGTGCCCCCCGCGCCCCCCAGGCGGCCGGAAGTCGCCCCCCGGGGAGTCGGGTAGACTGGATATATGCATATTCGAATTCTGCGCCCCCCAAAACCCCCGAGTACCAATTTTTGCGGTATTTCGTGCACTTTGGCAAGTTTCTCGGATGCGATGCACTTCTAGATGCACTTTATGCACCCGCGATGCATTTTCGCCACTTCCGGACAATAAAAAAGGCGGGACTTTTTTCCGACGGTCTTTCTGAACAAAACCTCATTAAAATCGGACCGGGCCGCGAAAATTTAGATATTTTGGGGTAAATCGTTCTTTATTGCCTGGTCTATTAAACAAATTTGAAAAAAACTGTTTTTTTTTCTGAAAAAGTATACTCGGGTGGGTCGCTGATTAGGTACGAATTCCCAAAAAATACAAATTGACAATTGACAACTGCCAAAAAAGTCATACTGACGAAGTGATCCGAGATCTTAGAAAACATTGCTGAAAGGTTTTTTGACATTGCCGAATTTACTTCAAAAATGTTTCTTGTCTGTTGACAGTTGTCATATCGATGCTGTCAAAATGACTGAATAAAATGCATGTTCGAGAAAGTGATTTTTAAAAAGTGGGGGTGCGGAATCAAAATTTGACACTGAAAATGACTTTTGTGTAACGCCAATGTTTCAGGAAAAAACAAATTTAGGCTAGTATATAGATTGAATATTGCTCAGTGTAGGCTGGTGAAACATTCTCCATCATTTTCACGATATACACGTATTTGGTCATGACAGTGTCGGTATGCAAGCTGCCAACATTCAAAAGTCACTTTCAGTGTATAATTTGGAATCTGCGACCCCTGGGAGATGATCTTTAAAAAAAACAATTTATGTTATCTTATTATCATTTGGACACATCGACATGACATGTGTCAACTGCCAACAGGCATTTCTGATGACAAATTCAGTTCAGCAACTTCAAAAACCCCCTGAGTATTATTTTTTTGACAATATACAGGGTGTCCCAAAAGTGACGCCCGTCCTTCTGGGATTTGATTAAGGAGACAAAAACGAATTGAAAATCAAGAGTGGAAAACTTTCCGATTGTTTTCCGTTGTTGAGTTATTCAAAAAAATATTCAAAAAACTAAGAAAGTGAAAATCCAGTATTTTTTCTCAAAACTGAGGTCAGTGCTTATGGGGACCAAGACACATAATTTATAACCAATGGTAGGTAAGCACAGTTTTCGATTGTCGGTTGTACCTGGGTGTAAGGAATTATTTTAACCTGAAAAGGATAGAGAAAATCATTTTAATAATAAAAAATAAACTAAAACCGTAATGTACTTAAATAATAGAAATTGTTTTTACAAAAGGTGTACAAATAAGTTGCCTTCTGCTTCAAGACAAAGATTATCACGATTCAACATTGAAGCATCAACACTTTATAGCATCTCTTGCTCTATTAACGAGACAGCAGCGTATATACGGACTATAAATCTTTTCTTTTAAATAACCCCAAAAGAAAAATCTAGGGGATTCAGATCTGGTGATCTAGGAGGCCATGGTCAACCTCTTCCAATCCATCTCTCTCGGAAGTTTTGATTCAGATAACTAAATTTTATATCCGTAAACCATAACGTGATGGAGCTCCATCATGTGGAAACCAATAATTTAGTCTAACTGCTAACGGAACGTCATCCAGCAATGGCAATTGTAAGTTTTCATTTAAAAACATACGGCTGCAGCAAATACAGCTTTGAACTACATAAATATTTAATAACCCAGCACAAATGTTTATTTTTAGTTTTTTGAATAATTTTTTGAATAACTCAACAAAGAAAAACAATTGGAAAATTTTCCACTCTTGATTTTCGATTTGTTTTTGTCCCCTTAATCAAAACCCGTAAGGACGGGCGTCACTTTTGGGACACCCTGTATATTCCCTTTTATTTTGATACTCTCGATATGATAGCTGTCGGCTGTCAAGAGCGATTTTCAACTTCAAATTTGGAATTCCTGCTTGTAGTCGAGGAAATAAAGCACTAAAAACGGCCTTACCTCCGAAATCTGTGAAATTTTGAATTTTGAAAATGCAGTTTTCTTATGCACCGATGCAATTCATTTCTCATTGATCACATAGGGTCACAAACTTTCTGGACGCTCTAACGAATCGAATGCAAAAAACCGCATCACGATCCATCTTCCTGCACAGATTTCGGAGGTTCAGTGCTTCATTTCCTCGACTATTCCAAAAACCCTCGGAAATGACTTTCTCAAAAACCTGTTCGTTCTTTCATTTTGTCATCATCAATGTGACAGTTGTCAACTGTTAAAAGGCATTTTAATCCAATAAAGATATAAAAATTCCAACATTTTTTCAGGGTTGCTTTGGGGACAGCCTCCTGAGTATCCAACCAAAAGATCAGTCCCCAAGCAACCTGTTTGAAATTTTTTTTTGCGGCCCCTATAAGCCGAGCACAACTTTGTTGGATTATTATTATCAGACTCGAAATGGCAATGTCACAAACCTCTTTATATGGCACAATTGTGGCAGCTGTAAACTGTCAGGTTGTATTTTTGACCTCAGTTTTGTAATCAGTGCGCTCTCGTGTGTTTCAAGGGTTAACGAATACAATGAAAAAATGTATCAACTGAAAAAGTTGATGTAGTTATCAAGTCTTAAATGTTAAAGATAATCCAATATAAGTCATATTTTTTATTTCAGTTACAATAAAAACAAATATAAAATACATGAGCAACATTCAGCATATACAAATTTGTTACAGACCTTATACCACCAAAAGCAGCATTTGTGATCTGATATTTTACCCATGTCTAGCTTTATCTAACAATAACGCAAAGGTAAACTAACATTATTAAATAATATATAAAAAAAGTAAAAAATAGTCTAAGAAACAACATACGTCGATGGTAGTTCAGCATCGGACAGGGTTTCGTCTTTGGTAGTATTATTAGCTTTCTTTTTTTCTGAAATAAAAATATCGTAATAACTTTTAGTTTAAATATTGTTAGAAGAAATACTGTTAATATCGTTAATCGTTGTTTAGTTTAGTTTTTACATTTTAGATAGGAACTTTAAATTGGTATTAAGTAAAAATTTACCTCCCCAGAGAATAACTTTTTCAAGACCAATTATGGGTGACTCGAAGATCATGGTCAAAATAAATGCTAGAAAGTAACCTAAGATAATATCAGCCGCTGTCTTGTGTATCTAAAAAACAGAAAAAATAAAACGTAGCAAACGCCACTTAAAATTAATCTAGCTTTTTTTTCCTTACAGCATTGAAGTTACTAGCATATATAGGATTCCTAATCACACCGGAAGAGTACATCTGTATAGTACCATGGCAGAGATAAACCGTATAAGTAAGCCTGCTAAGTACCACTAGTGGCTGCCAAGACAAGATGGGGTTCACCCAAGCTAAAAAATATCTCAAGTCATCGAATAAAAGTACTTCTTTTATGACACTTACGTCCGTAACCAAATGATATGGCGATGATCATAAACGCTATGCACACGCTCCATATGAAGTGATGAAGAGCAGCATATAGGGCAGATGCCCAAACGGGAGCGTTGGAATTATAGAAAACGTAAGATACTTGTAGCGCTAGAAGCATGAGAGGCACGCAGACCACCCACCCCGCTCGCACCCACTGTTTCGGTATTTTAAAGTCGTTGGCCTTCATCTTGTACTTCAAATACCCAGCTAGGACTCCTACGAAGTACGAGGAGATCCTCATGTGTCCTGGTATGTAGACCTTCAAGAAGGTGCTGTCGGAATTAGGTGATAACAGCATTCTGTAATACATAAAATTATTGAAGTACTGTTGAGAATTATATTATCCAATATAGTTACCTCAGGTAGATTAGTAGGATCGGTTGTTCCTCGTTAAGAAAGACAACGATAAATACTGTCAGGACAGATGCGATTATAGCTACGATTACAGTACACACACCTAGTTTCGCTTTCTTCCAGATAATCCAGCATAGTATTGGGACGAAAATGAAACCGTTCATGTCGCAAGCCATGTACCAGGATTGAAACATACACTGAAAATACACAAAAGATAAGTTACGTGGTCAAAAAAGCGGAATATCTGTGATAAGTGTGATATTGACATACGTACATAATTTTTTGTGTCGACATAATTATTTATATACAACATGTTGGCCCACCAAACCTGCCTACATTTTTCACTTTCAGTTCCAACCCTTTCCTGCCACAAAGGCCCTGTTCCCAATTTGACAAAGAGGGTGCAGTAAAAGGCCAAAATGATACAGTAGGTTGACGTCATCCTAAAATCATATAACTGTAGTACTGGTTACAATTTTATTATTTCGTGTATTCTCACCTGATATACCTATGTAGATACAAAAGTACCAAATTGATTCCATTTTTACTTCTGTAGTATTGATTAAGAATCAGATAGGTGGCTAGAAATCCGGAGATGGTAAAGAATGTGTCTACCAATATCGGACCATTTAGTATGAAAGTCATACCAAAGTTTGAGTAAAACTAAAAAAGGATGTATATACGATAATATACATATAAAACTGTAACATTAGATGTAAAAGCTACAAGAAATACTAAATTACTATTCCGCTTCAGGACCTTAGAGTGTGTAGTGTATTTATTTTACCTTTTCTACGAATTTTGGATTTATTAAAGCAGATCCATAGTCGAACATATTCCTGTGTAGCAAAATAATGAGAACCATAGAATATACTTTCATTCCAGATAGGCAGTCCAAGCCATCAGGATTTACCTTTGTCGTTGTTAGTTTATTTACATTCCTCGGGAAAGAGAAGCAAACTATTATGTCGTGTGCTTTACCTACAAAATTATATCACTTGATGGATATATATAAAACAATAAAATAATACTTTCTTACCAGCTAGTTTGATATGTTTAAAATCGTCCCTTTTTGAGAAAACGTCATACATGGAAGCCAAGATCATTGTTAAGACAAAAACAACGACTACGACTCTAAAATCAATAAAAACATTATATTCTAGATATTAGTTTGTTTATTCTACTATATACTTTTTTCATTTGCTTCTTCGACTTTGACACCTGGAGAACTTAATTTATTTTTTCATCAGCAAAAACAGTAGCAGTGACAATTTAATCAACAAATAATTTCGGTAAAAATAGTTTTCGTTAAATGTTGATTATTAAATATTTAAATAACAAATACATAAAAACAGCTCGGGAAATATATTCCACTCTGAAATATTCGATGTTGTTTTCTTAGCGCCGATCAAGCGTAACACCTTTTTGTTAAGGGTTTTTCGCAAGTCATTGTGTTCTTAAAATTTTCCGATTATGCAAACCCAGAAATTCCTTTAATTTTAAAATCGATAGATTTGGAAAGGCAATTTAAGAAGATTAATATAATCCGTTATTAAAACTTTAAAGCCACTTCTAATTTAATATGCAAAAACATATAATTTCAATTATTAATATTAAATTTGAATTAAAAAAGTCATCATTTTGTTTTCTGTTTACAAAAGATGTAAATAAATTGTTTCAAAATGTGTAAAGAACTTTTGAAAATATGAAGTCTGTACTGTACTTCTATCGAATTAAAAATAAAATTATAATAGATATGGCAGGCATATTATTTCCAGTAACATATTATACATCAAAAATATGTATGTAGGAGTATTTGTTCATATCAAATTGCCACGTGAAGGATAATTCTTGCACGTAACTACTTATTTCTTTTACCACTTTGTTCTATATTTTCCTCCTTTATACAGATGATTAGTGTAAAAGTACTATGTATATTATTGTGGTTTTTCGATTAAGATAGCTTTGTGTTACAAAATAACACAAATATAAAAAGTACAAGCCAAGGACATTACTGTATTTTTATCTTCTACACATTCGTTAACGTTTCTCTATTATCTGTGTACGAATTAGAATGTTCTACAAATAGAGAAAACCAAGAGCAGAAAAAAAAATTACTCACATAAAAATTACATCGCCTTTGTCTAAAGGTATGCTGCCCGCAACTTGACAACTTTTCCTGGACACGTCTACATTCACTCTGAAGTCATTCTCTTCATTTATTTTGCTGAAAAATGTTTCCAGCACCATTTGCAGGTCTTCACCAGTACATGACGATGGTAAACAGTAAGAAAAATATAGTTCGTTTCTTGGATTCTTGGAAACGTCATGTAAAAAGTCCTAAAGATGAATAACAATTATTAGTCTAACGATATTTCCTTGTATATTTTTTCCTTACCTCCATCTTTTTCCACACCGAAACATTGTGAAAGTTTTTATAATCGTCAAAATGGTAATTATAGGGGCTGTCGTTGATTTCTCCTTCAAATGGTGATTCTACGGTAAACTTCGCCATGCAGTACTGTCCGGAAAATTGTTCGTTTTGGTATGGCACCCTTACGTCCAAACATTCGTCGAAATTGCCGAAATCGTAAGCTGAACCATACAAGACACCAGCTGGGAATTTTGTGGTGGCATCGAACACTGTGAAAAAAAAAGAACTCTGTTAGTGCCAACTTGATCCGAAAACCATAAAAATTCATAATCGAAAAAAAAAATGGAAACAATTATGCATACTCAGAAAAAAAGCAAGGGATCAGAATCAGGATCAAAGAAGTATTTGAATTGAAAATATTACAGTCTGTCCTCAATTACACATGATTTACCATTACAAGGTGTCAAAATTGAAGAATAGTTTCTTATATTAGTATCAACATTTGATCTTCGTTTTTATTATACAGAGTTTTTTAATCATAAACCGTAGCGTCAGTTCCAAACGGTTTTAAATACGTTTTTGGTCGGCAATGAAATTAAATGCATTTTAGTTAAAAGCATTCAAAATCATTATCGTGTCATTTATTCCATAATAAAATTGCTCTTCTGTAAAATTTGAATAAATTGACTTTTGGAACTTTTGGAACTTACGTGATATATTTAAATACAATTCATCATACTGATATAGGAAAAGGTGTAGTTAAATGTTTGTATGATAGAGCCAAATTGATTGGTTTCCTCAAAAGATGAAATTTTTAATAATGAATTAATTGAAATTCATGAAGAATGTACTAATAAATAAATCAATACTCTGAAAATTTTCTTGAAACAAACAGAAATTACATTCACAATATAAATCCATATATTTCTGTACTATCGGAAAAATTGAAGAAAATGTGTAACTTTAACATTATTAACAGATTTTCAGACAACCAATACTTTACGGACTTTATTGTAAAAGACACGCCCAAATAATGATTTTCAAAATTCGAAAATTGCATTTATAGCATTCCTTGTGAATGCAATATACATTATGTTGCATTACATATTGAAAAAATTACATTAAAAAACGAAGATTTGATAAATCTAAAATTTGCAAGCACGTTTGGGAAAATGGTCACAATTCAATGGGGTTTGGCTAAAATTTTAGAAAAGAAGGACAATACGTTAAAAGAAAATTAAAAGGGATCGCGAATATTTTGTTGAATGGTGAAAGATGTGTGGCAAATTGTTTTTGCTGACTACAGATTCTAAAAGAAAAGTCAAAAAAAAGATCAGAAGACGAAAACAGGTACTTACATTTACGTTGACAATTATTTGAAATGCGCGAAATACAGGGTGTTAGAAGTTTGACTGCCTTAATTTTAACAGACGATAGAATACGTTAATACAAACAAAAGAACCTTATATGATATGGGTCCTAAGCTCAACCATTTCCCAGAAAAAAATTTATCAATATCTCCAACTTGATGTCCAAAAGTTCGATTAATTAAGGAATATTGACATCATAACTGCGTGCATAGAATATCATAAAATACAATGTTTATCACTTTTTTGAACTTCTTTATGCTTAATTCTAAAAAATAATTAGCGTTTTAATAAATTTAAAATTCAATAAAATTCAGATCGAGTAATGTGGCAACGGCGCGGCGGTTTATTAACACGAGGTACTGAGGTATCTGGATTCGACCGTGTCGGAGTGTTTTTTGCATACCACTATTTCCTTTTCTTGAGGTGTTTTCCAACGAGTGTGCGATTATTGGATTCGAAGTCGTGCGTGCATCGAAAATGGTGGTGGACATTTTGAGCATATGTTGTAGTTTGTTTTGTACTTGTGCATTTAAAAATTACTAAAAAGTACCTAAATTATTTTTAATACGTATGATTATTTGGACGATGTGAATCTTTGGGTATTTTAATTACGTATTTTTCAAACATACGTAATTTGATTAAAAGTTAAGTTCCGGTTTTAGGACATTCATAATTACTAAAATTCGAGCTAAAATTTAAGCACAACACTATCTTCGTACTACAAAATCGATACATTTTATTTAAAAACTGGAAAACAATTGTCTTGAAATTTACTAAATGTTTCACAATAATAGTTGTTTACATTTTTTCCGTAGGACAAGCTTGACGCGTGCGTGGTATGCGACAGCAGGTTAAGCGCTGTTGTCACGTTATGATGAAACTCCCCAATATTAATACTCGCTGTAATTTGAAAACTGTTAATCTTACGCCCCTGTAATATAAAACTTGTTTGTTAATTTATGATCTATCTCATGCTGAAGTAATGGCAGTCAAACTTCTTAAACCCTGTATAATGATGTGCGTTTTGTTTTTGTGACATTTTGTTTAGGGAAATTTATTTTCATGTGAGTAAGTAACCTTTGACTTATCCTTTTGTCGTAAAGGTTTATTTCTCTAATTTTTTAAATATTTTCACACGTGGTAAAACATGCCACAAATAAATAAATTCAGACAATATTTAAATATATTCTAAACAAATGAACATATATGTAGATATGTATCATAGTTGTTGACTGTCAACAGAAGTTTTTGACGTTTTGATGATTCTGTAAAATTATTATTTTCACATACATAATATTATTGAGTGTTTACTTAATATCGCCTAATGTATCATTTGCTGTTGCGAGACAGGAATTGAGAGACGACGAGACGACGAGGAAGGTGTAAAGGCGAATACTCCTCCTTGAAAAATTGTTACTATTGTTATTCTCAAGAAGCTGTGTATTGTATTGCTAATTAAAACCCTAGACAAACATTAAAAAGCCTACATATAATATATAAAATAATCAACCAACTCTAACCAGTGGCGTGGTAATGAATATTTCATTTACATTTCTCACAAAATTTATAGCACAACACTGGAAAAAATATTTTTGGACCTTTTTGAAAACAGATTTCATTTTGAACACAAATGATCTGCTGACTTTTTGAATAGCTTTTAACATTTTGTAACAAATATTTGTAAGAATGTAACTTTTGAGCAAAATGTAGGAAAATCTATTTAGACGTTACTTGCGTTTTACTTATTATGTCAATGGCCTGTAAACTTATAAATCGGAGCACGCTTTATACGCTTGTAACAATAACAAAATTATGTTACCTAACGATATTTCATGCATTATTAAATTAAAAAAATTACGATAAAAGATAGTTTTCACGCTTCAGTGGATTCTACTCTCACGGTTATATTTTCTTTGGCAGCCTGTGTAAACAATTTTTATTCAATTAGGAAAAAATTGCAGATGTAATTAATTTTTTGCCTTTAGCGATGAATAGAATACCCGGCTATAAAAAAAGATAAATTAATCAGTTTTATTTATATCCTTGTACTATGATCTTACGATGGCACATTTTCATGCTTAAAATGTTCAGGCACCCTGTATGTATTTAGGAAAACGCATTTTTTCTTCTAGTCGAGTTAAAAGGTTTGTAATAATTATAACTCTTGCATCAATAACATTATTATTAATTAGTGTTGTTATTTAAACATTTGCATAGCTGAAAGTTTCTGCAGTAAAAGAATTGCGTTTTAGGACATTCACGAACTAAAAAATCGCATTGTTTTTGTTCTTATTAAATTAATAATATCAAAGTTTTTCTTTCGATTGGACTTTGCTTCTATGTTCGTTTGAATCTATTACTTCAAGTGAATGTCAACAGTGGCGCGTACACTACTGTTTTCCATTTCAAAAAAATTATAACAGCTAACAATAAAAATTGTTAAGCACAATACATGCGCAACAAAAGTCAATCGATTTATAAATATAATGTAGGTACCTCAATACATACTTTTTACAGATAATATACCCCTTATTATTCTTATGGTTTTATAAATATTAAATATATTTAGAAATGGAATATCTTCGTTATCATTTTTGCTGGTATTTTTGATGAAACTAGTGGACTTAGTTTGAAAAACAGATTATTCAGAAAGAAAATTTATATTAAATGCAAAAATCTGAAAGCTGAATAAAACTAAAACTATCTTCGAAAGAACAAGTGCTGTATGTAAACAAAATTTTCATAACGATTTTAAAGAATCTCGGAAATTTATCGAAAAAATACTTAAGTATATTCAAGATATGCTATTAGAAAATTCATTTATTCACCTTTTAGCGGGTTATTTCACTTTAGTTTTTTTAAAATCGATGTAAAGTATACAAGAAAAGGAAGATTATCTATTACTTTCGTAGTAATTTCTTTATTATGAAGACTGTACTGTACTGTACATTTTACACTTCATCTACAATAGCTGGGAAAAAAATAAATATACTTGATACGTCAGAATTCTATATCATATCAATAATGAACATCGCAAAAGTGTCTAATTGTAAATAATACACGATTTGTGAGATCTAAAAGTAAGGAAGATATATCCAAAAAGAGTCTTATAATAAATCGAAACAAAAGTACAATTGCTAACAGCAAAAAATACAGGTATAACAAAAACAAACTCGATTAAGTTGATCATGCTAGATTGGATAGGTAAAACCAATAATAATTAATATTATTCTAAACAAATCTTCACATTTTTTAATGGGTCAATGGATTCAATAATTTACTAATTTAATGTTTATTTTTTTATTATTTATAAACATTTAAAATGCAGAAATATGTTCTAAATCTATCGTGGTTACGTTTCATGTTGATCTTCGGTCATATTTTTGTCTAACACATTATGTTTATGACAATTCCTTATAGTCCAAGCATTCTGTCACGGATTAATGTTAAATTTGCAGAAATTATTACCTGGATAAAAAATATGACCGTATAGAAAATTAAATTTTAAATTGAGTTTCTTGTTCTTTAAACTCGATCCAATATGGCGAACATGGTTAAAAAAATCGCAAAGTTGAAAAAAACGGTTTTTCTAAAATAACTAAAAAAATATAGCACGGATTGAAAAATTTTAAATGAGAAAGTTGTAGGTTTTAAAAAGATCTATCGACTGATTTTTTGAAAGTATCGATTGCTTTGTTACTTTTCGAGATATATCGAAAAAACCGTTAAAAATCTTCTCTTTTCTCTTCTTCTATAACTCGTTTACATTTACGTGCCCATATTTGCTATTTACTGCAAGCATAGCCCGCGGCAAGCCAAAAAAGTACATTTTTGAAAAATTTAAAAATATTAATTATTTTTCGAGATATATCGATTTTTTGAAAAAAAGGCGCTCTCGAAAATTGGCTAGATCTTCTCAGCGGATAGCCCTACAGTAACGATTTTCGGTTTATTTTCTTCGTAAAGAGTTATATTATCATGCTGTTAAAAAATGTTGACGATTTTATTAATTTTAAGGATCAAAAAATGACTGAAAATGTTGCACTTTTTTTGGGTATGTTTTTTTCAAATAACTATTTCAATTTTTATTATTTTTTTGTACTTAATCTGGGGTAGCTAAATACGAATGTTATAGCATTTTCGCCTTAGGATCAGAATAGACCCGTAAATGTTTAGTTTTCTTTCTTTAAAAGTCATTTTCATAAAATAAAAATTGAAATAGTAATTTGAAAAAAACATACCCAAAAAAGTGCAACTTATTCAGTCATTTTTTGATCCTTAAAATTAATAAAATCGTCAACATTTTTTAACAGCATGAAAATATAACACTTTACGAAGAAAAGAAACTGAAAATCGTTACTGTAGGGCTATCCGCTGAGAAGATCTAGCCAATTGTCGAGAGCGCCTTTTTTTTAAAAAAAATCGATATATCCCGAAAAATAATTAATATTTTTAAATTTTTCAAAAATGTACTTTTTTGGCTTCCCGCGGGCTATGCTTGCAGAAAATAGCAAATATGGGCACATAAATATAAACGAGTTATAGAAGAAGAGAAAAGCGAAGTTTTTTAACGGTTTTTTCGATATATCTCGAAAAGTAACAAAGGAATCGATACTTTCAAAAAATCAGTCGATAGATCTTTTTTAAACCTACAACTTTCTCATTTAAAATTTTTCAATCCGTGCTATATTCTTTTAGTTATTTTAGAAAAACCGTTTTTTTCAACTTTGTGATTTTTTTTAACCATGTTCGCCATATTGGATCGAGTTTAAAGAACAAGAAACTCAATTTAAAATTTAATTTTCTATACCGTCATATTTTTTTGTCCAGGTAATAATTTCTGTATGCATTTCTCTATAATGCTTGGACTATTAGGATAAAGCTCCACAAGTCAGTTTATTTTGACTCATTTATCGTGTTCATGTGTTTAACAGATACGAAATTCTGACATTTAATGAAAATTCATACACTCATCATACAATTTTACTGACATATTTTTCTCGTCCTAAATATAACGGCTGAATACAGTGTAAGGAAACACACTGTACACATTTTCATTACGAAAACATAGACATAGCTGTTACAAATTCGCTTCTCGCTACAAGGATCTTGGAAACGATAAGAAATACGAACTAGCTTAAATGGGAGCAAAGTTTCGAAATCAGGAGACCAACATTATGTTTCTAAAAAAGTCAAGGCTAACATGAATAGTTTTCGAAATATTTGAAGAAAACTGAAATTTTGAAAATCCGTTTTTGTTTCAATTCAGCCTTGTTTGAGGTGATATTGAAAAAAGAAGGACACTTTCTCATTGCAACTTTTTGCCTTCTATCGATTGGCATAGCCAATTTTTATATGTAACGTTTCGTCTTTCCAAGATCATAATTAACTTAATTTTTCTAAATACTGGAAATTTTATTACATTTTTGCAAGCCTTCATGACCTCAATACTGTACTGCCTCAGCCCGAACCAAATACATACGTTTTGTCACGAAAAATTCATCTTCAATATATTCGTCCTAATTTTTCTAAATTTTTAATTTAGATTTCTATGTTTATTGAATGTGTCCTAGACCCTGTAAATTCACCTAATTATTAACTTAATAGCGATTGTAATCCATCACGCATTACAATAAAACAATACAAGAGTTTTAATCCTGTGCCCATAGTTATTTATAGGTCTCTCGAATGCTCAGAAAATTCAATTTTACAGGGTCTAACGAAACTTAGAATGTACGATAATTCAATAACATGAGGGCAAAAAGTTGCCATAATATATTTTTTTTCAATATCACCTCAAACAAGGGTGAAATGAAACAAAGACGGATTGCCAAAATTTCATTTTTTTTTCGTCTATTCTATTTCTAAAACTGATAATGTTAGCCTTGATTTTTTAGAAGTATAATGTTGGTTCGCTGATTACGCAACTTTTTCGAGATCCCTATAGTGAGAAGCGAATTTGTAACAGCCTGAATAATAAATGGTGATAGATAACAAAAATGACTACTACTGTATTTTAAAAATTATTGCGCTATGCCATATCAAGTTTAAAAATGTAATTCTCATCCGACGAAGTCTGAGAAAACTCTTTTGATACCACATCTATTTGAGCTAAAAAGTTCCTTCAAAAGCAAGCTATGATACTGTAAGAAAAAACTTCTCTGCTCACTAAAGACCCATCTGTCATCTAATGTACATTATTTAATTATTAAATATAGAAAGAATACGTTTTTTAGGTATACAATAGAAGTAGGGAGATATAATACGTCTACCAGATATTGCGGATTCAATTCAATTCTGAAAGGGGCTTTAGTTCGCAGAGTAGATGTTTTGAAGTTGCGTTTTAATATAGTAATAGTAATAACTTTATCGGATGATAATTTACGAAAGTTTTTTTGACTTTATTTGAAGTAGCTTAATATCTAGTAAAGTAAGAGTACTGTAGTTAAAGTATAATTAAAAAATAATAATGGAATAAAAGACTATTTCACTAACTGCATTATAACCAACCAAATGTCATGTTATAGCCAATTTTTACCAACCACGTCATTATTGTACTGATAAAATTCGAATCTACTGAAGTTTTATTGTTGGCTACGTATGATCTTATTATGAAGTAAATTTGACGTGAAATGTTCTTGTTAGATATAATTTGTGACAACGGTCTTATTAAAACATTTTCTCGTTTTTGTATTTGCAAAAGGTAGAATCACTTGTGTATCAATATTTTTTTTATTAAAATTAAAATATCAGTTAATAAAAAATATAGATTACGCTAGTGCTTTTATCAGGAAAAACGGAATCTCGAAAAATATTTTTCAATAGAACATTTTAATTAATTAACAACTTCCCAAATTTGAAAAACCAAATATTGAAGATAGATATAAAGAGCAATAAAATAATGCTTTCAAGAAGATTAAAAATTAGTAAGATCGATTTTAAAGTAATTTAGATTTCAGTGGTAATTTTTTCCATAGAAAAATAACTTACTCTCCGATGCCCAAAGAGTGTAATTCCTCAGCTGTTCCAGATAAAACAAACTGTGATTCCTGCATTTTTCATTCTCGGAGTTCACAGTTGGTATATACAAACCGATCAGATCAACCCCGCTCTCATTTCGGTTCTCCCTCAGGATCTTTTCGACGATAAAACAGTTCGAAATGTTCGCGAAAAATGTAACGCAGCACAAGAACTTCCAGAGGAACTTCACACTCATTGTAATGGTGAATACTAAAGTGATAAAAGCGTTCCAACTGTCAACTATATATTGGAAGGGATAGTTTGCACGGAAGATGAAAGGCTGGAGCTGAAAAGGTACGGTAAAAAGAGGACTCTCGCGGAAAACTCGCATTACATCAGGTTGTTACATAAATGGGCAAAGTTTTTCTGTAAATTGATATTTTTAATAAGTTACTGAAAAAGTTGTTCTTCATTACCTACATCAGCTAAGCATAAATAACTGAAAATGAAGAAATACAAGGTCTTCCAAATAAATATGTAACATTGAAATTATATAACATTGATAAAAAATATCTACAGGGTATTTTTGTCGATGTATTCCTTGCATTTCCATTATGTTGCGTTTCTATGCATACTCTTGCATGTGTATTAAAATAATATTATCTTGAAACAAGGATATATTTGCTTACACATATGAGCTACCAGAATATTTTCTTCCGTCAAGAAAACCGTTAAAATGTTATTTACAAATACTTACATGTCTTCCTACAACAACTGTATCTTTTTTTACATTTACATTAACAACTCTTAACGAACGTTACTCTTCACTACACTAACATGTAATAGCCATAACATTATAAAGAAAGAAGAATGGAATCTGATGGAAAAATTGTAAGGAGAAGAAGTCAAGGATTACAATTCTGGATATAAAGAGTTCTAGTCACTTTACTTGCGAATATAAAAGTTATAAATTTAGTAGAAATAACCTTTAGAAATTATTTTAATAAATAAATCAGCAGTAAATTTGCAAAATAATAATTATTATTCTATATATATTATTTCTGAACCCACTTTTTTAGTTTGCTTTTATGTAAAAATTTGGTTAAAATACAAATTAAAATATACTTTGAATATCATAAAAAATTTAGTGAATTTAATTCAAATGTAAGTACTCAATTTGGCTTTTGTTAATTTGTGCTTAAAATTGATATTTGGTGGCAACCAGAACATAAAAGTTCTGTTAAAATATGTTATTTTCTTCTTCATTAAATTCTGTCTGAAACTTTTTGCCCACTGTCTGTTTTCTTTTTCTTCGAACTTCACTAATATCTACATATTGTGTACTCTGCATAATTTGATAATTAACTTACTTTTTCTTTTATTTCGTATCTCTTATAATTTTGTGAAGTATTAAATTTATTTGATCGTCCAAATAAAAATATATGATATATATTTAGCGCACTGTATATACCTTGTAATTATACAAATGGAAGGATTTCAAAAAACGACAAATATACTACGTGTTACATTGAAAAAAAAATACAACATTCAATTGTGTCTTTTATTATTAATTATTATTAATGGGGGAACGCACAATTTGAATACCTCTGTACAAAAAATATTTTATTTCAATTCAATTAATCAATAAAAGGATCATGCAAAGTCAGTATAGGTTGAAAGAGAATTATAAATTTTGACTCGTTTGGAAAAACAAAAAAAAATCAGTTTCAAATCGGCTAAGCCGCAACAAAATGCTTGTTATCGCGTATTATGCGGGGAACAGCCACTTTCTTACTTAGGATAAAGTTCTGAAGTGGTGTATAAAAATAATGTACATTTCCAAAGTATTCCACAATTCGTCCATGAATGCTTACAAATTATTCTCCCATACCATTCTACCATTCACTGCTGAATTAATTTTGAACTGTTTTATTATTAAGTTTTATATATAGGCCTGCAAAAGGAACCTGTTTATAATAAGATATTAGTTTAAAAAAGTGCTTTAACCATACACCATTTAGAAAACAATAATTAGTTAGTGATTTTCCATTTCAAAAAACTGCAATCTCGTAGTGATTTTTTTCTTCAGATCGATTAATGTACAGGGTGATTCGAGTCCGATATCTTTAGAACTTTATTACTCATACACAGTAAGTACTGTCAGTACTTTCGGTTTCATTAATTTATTTATCTTAACAAAGCTAAATCCTTGAATCCTAACTAGATTTTTATTCGATTGCAACTGAGTTTCAAATAAATATCAGTTTAATAATAGTTCAGTTGTATTCATGTTTGATTTAGTTCTTAATAAAGTTGGAGTCTACTTATATAACTTATACTTATTGGATAACTATAAAATTATTTTTCATTTGATTAATCTTTGACATTTTTGAAAATTAATGGAAACGATCAATTTCTGTCATATGCGTTCTAGTCAGTCAAAAATTTATCCAGTGGAAATAATGAATTATCAGAGAACACTATATCAACGAGAAGCGACAGAATCGGCGGCTTCTTTGATGTTTCGTGGTCACGCTAGAATTGACAGATTTGAAGGAAACACAACCGTTTGCACTGAGAGAAGTTATACTTTTGAATGGATGTACACTGAACGAACTGCATCAGTATCAAACATTGTTCAATAATACATGAATAACTGTGATAAAATGTAGACAAATTATATCATCGCAACGGTTTTCATAGCATTGTGTTATATATAATTGTTGTAAAGAGTTAAGCTCTTACTTGTGTTATATACAGTGTTCAGAATTGGTGATAAATGTATTGAAATATTAGATGCTAAAGGAAACAGTAAGTCCATTAAATAGTAAATTGTAGATAATTCTGATTTACAATTTACAGCTAGGTACTTATAATAATAATAATAATAATTACCTTTCGTAATCCTTAGGGAATTTAAAAAGGGTTAATCCTTCAACACAATAATAATCAGACATTTTATTGATTTCAAGTTGATTCTAAATGAAAACGAAAGGCAGGCCCATAGTTTTATACATGGACCTAGCAAATCGAAGACGAAATGGCTGCTGAGCCTCAGTCGAAGAACCCTAAACCAAATGGTCGGGGTTCTGACAGGTTTCTGCAGACTTAGGAGGCATTTAAGTTTAATAGGAATTGAGGAGGACCCTCTATGCCCGAAATGTGAAGAAGGGGAGGACACCCCTGTCCACCTTCTGGGGCATTGTGCAGCCTTTGGGAGAATAAGACATAAAGTCTTTGGTGCTGGAGAGCTGTAAGGGGTTGAGGTGAGAGACCTTCCCTGGACCAAAATCCTGGCGTTCATCAAGGAGTTGGGTAAGTTCGAGGAGGGTCTGAGGCACAGAGTGGTTAGGTGATGGGACGGCGGGGTAGGCAAAAAGGGCCCACTTGTGGCCTAATTGCCAGGCTGAGGCCGCCCCTTTACTACTACTACTACTAGTAGTAGTAAACTAGTAGACTAGTACATCGTCAGTGGATCAGTAATAAAATAAACGAAAATTCGTTTAAAAATACTTGGCACTTCTGAAGTAGGAGCTACCGAGGGTTTCTTCACCACGATAATTCTTTCTATAGCCCAAACACTCAAGCCGTACCACAAAGAGTCTGAAAAGTCCGATCGGTGCCAATTCTCTGTGTGACTTTAGTGTGGACAAAAGTATAGATGAATTTATTCGTGTCGAATAGGCTAGAATATTGTTTATTTAGTTATTATTAATAATATTTCAAACATTTTTTTGCATTAATAATTTAATTGTAACATGTATTTGTCAATGTTTTGGATAATATTGTTTAAATTAATATTTTTATTCGAAAGAGTGCAGAATAAACATCAATTTACAGAAAAAGAGGCAAAAATAGCATCTTCAAAAAACGCCTGTATTCCAGACACAGGAAAAAATCGATTATATCATTTTATCAATATGAAGTATTTTTTTCTTAAAAATATAAGCTTTGAACTTCAACATTTTTTTTACTATTTCTCTAACCATTGTTTATAAAAAAATACGAATTTAAAAAAATATATTTTTTTTTCAAAAATAATGACAATCGATTTCTCGGAAAATTTTGACCCAGTTTTGATATAAATACGTTATGGTTTCGTTAACAAAAAAGAAGACATAAAAATTCAACGTTGGCAAAATCTCAATTCGCACTAGTGTGACCTTTGAGGGTTGAACAATGCCGGTTTGGGCACTGGAAGAATAGAGTATAATCCGATATTCTGAAAAACAATGCAAGATTGAGCTATGCTAACCGTAAATTGTTTAAGAAACTTCAAACTTAGCGGACAATAAATATTAAAACTGACAAGCTTTCTCGAACAGTAATGATTTGTTGGAATAAACCGTATTTCTTAGGCTGATAACAAAAATATGACGATTGAGGTAAACATATCGAAAAGGGCGAAAAAATCTAAAACGATAAGGACTGGATACTAAAAAAAAATAAAATTAATTAAACATTACATACAGTTTGATGTTAATTCTAATTTAATTAATAACCTAAGATAAAGTTGGAAAGCAATAACTTTTAACGCAACTGAAACGGTTTTATTTTTCATAGTCTATTTTGTTTAAAGTGAGTTAGGTAACCTTAATTAAATGAAAATATAATATTGAAAAAAGTGTTTCTGATTGCAACGTCCAAAAATAACTCAGACGAATAAAATTTAACTTTTTTGGAAGCAGAAACTTGAAAATATATATATTTCCGAAGGATTTAGGTGCGCTGAATCCGAATCTGGCAGCAGAATTGCTCTATCTCGTCAGGTTTTTGAGATATCCTAACCTAAAAGTGCAAAAAACACTGTTTTTCATCATATTTGAGGTTATGTAGTAGTGCCATCTATTCTTTTTCAAAAAACTAATACATCGAATCTAAAAAACAAGGCTCCCTCCTTCGAATGCCGTTGAGTTTGCTCAAATATCTTTTTTTTTTTCGTTGAGATATCATATGTTGAAATTTTTAAGTTTCTCAGTTTCTTAATATGCGAAAATCTACTAAGGATCCCTTAGACATCAAACAGTTGATTGCAATTCAGAAACATCATACCCATACGGTTTGTGGGTTTGGAGTTGGTAGGCTTGGGGTTTGTAAGCTTGGAGTTTGTAGGTTTGGGTTTTGTGGGATTGGGGTTTGTGGGTTTAGGGATTGTGGGTTTGGGGTTTGTGGGCTTGTGGATTTGGAGTTTGTGAGTTTGAGTTCGTATGTATTGAAGGTTTCTGAGTATGAAGTTTCTAAACTGCAATCAACTGTTTGA